AGCCCACACTGCAGGATAAGCTTCCTGCTGCAGCTGATCAGCTGATCTCCGTGCAGAGCGGAAAGGTGGGCGTGGCCAAGAGCACTTGCAGATGGCAAAGAGCAGAAGAGGCAGAGAGCTGAAATCATGACTTTCTGTGCTCTTCTAGAGCGTTTACAAATATTGTTTAGAATATTGCAAGAGTGTGGAAAGGGTTTAAAACACCTTTAAATAAAAAAAAATATATATATACTAAAATAAACTACTATTTGCTACTTGTACTACTATTCCTACTTCACGGTTTTTCACTTATCGCTAGTCTTCAGGGTACGGATCCCTCGCGATAAACGAGGGACTACTGTATACTAAACATCCATCCATCCATTATCTTTTACCTGCTTCTTCCATTTTGGGTCACGGGGGTCGCTGGTGCCCATGTCCAGCAATCACTGTGCGAGGGGCGGGGGACACCCTGGACAGGTCGCAAGTCTATTACAGGGACACATAGAGACAAACGAGACAACCATTCACTCTCTCACTCACACCTAGGGACAATTTAGAGTTACCAATCAGCCTAACATGCATGTTTTTGGTCTGTGGTCGGAAACTGGAGCACCCGGAGAAAACCCACGCATGCACGGAGAGAACATGCAAACTCCACCCAGAAAGGCCCCTGGACTGGGATTTGAACCAGGGACCTGCTTGCTGAGAGGCAGCAGCTCTAGTTGCGCCACCGTGCTGCCCGTATACTAAACAATAATAATATAAGGTGTATTAAAGAGCAGCCTGAACATGAGTCTTTTGTGAGCAGATGGGTGAATACAGCAGCTTATGGATAAGAAATCAGCAGCATGGAAGATCAGCAACACAGATAAAGTGTCAAATTTCCAATTAAAGTGACATTAAAGTGATTTTCCTGGTTAGGGATTTATGAGACTTACAGCTTCAGGGTAGAAGCTGTTCCTCAGTTCCTTCTCAAAAGGTGGTTCAAGACGAAACTGCTACTGAAATCAAATATATTTTGATGTCTTTTGGACTCAGTTATGTCTTGTGTCCACAGAAACATACAAAAAACAATACTGGTTTTAATTTTGTTGGAACTTTGCACAATTGAAAAAAATAATCTATTTCCGTGAAGTTGATCTGAACATACTTAAAACTGCCAAAAGTTGGAAACAATTTGGTTCTGTTTTAAATAAAACTCTTTTTTTCTTCTTTCTTGTTGCTTTCTTTTCTTCCCCTTCTTTTTGATCAGCACATTTGGCTATAATTACACATGTTGTGACAAAACACTCCCGTCAGTTATTTGCTCATCAAAACCACTGATGTAGTGATGTGTCTGCATTAATAATGATTATTTCCTTTTATTATTTCCCCTTTCCGTCCCTTTGAACAGGGAAACAAAGTAATCTGGAATCACATGGATTATGTGCCAAGCATTTATTACAGATAGACAATGAAGTGCATTATTTTAAGGGGCTTCTTCTTCAGTTTTGGCTTTGCGTTATTTCTCCCTCTTGCTGTTTTGTTCCTGTGATAGTTTTTTTTTTTTCCCAGCCTTTTTTTAGGTCTTGCTGTGGTGTACAATTTGTTAACAAAGACGATTTGCTATGGAACAGGCTGGCCCAGCAGTATTTCATGCAGAGATTTTTTTTCTGTTGTTAGATTAGTCATTTTAGATAATATTGAAGAGAGGCTAGCTTTAAAAAAAGAGACCTCTGATTTGGTCTTGGCTTGGAAACTGAGTTGAATAGTCCTGTTGAATTTTGTAAAAAGGAAAACTGCTTTGGTATGCAGAAAGTGCGGGTTTTGGGTTTCAGCTTGATGTGAGGCTCTCATGCCCAAGAATGCATATTTGCCTATTGGTCAATAAAGGACTGTGTGTGCTGTGTGTGTGTGGGAGTGTGTGTGGGTCCATCTGAAAACAATATCTGACTTTATCCACATGCCACTCACCTTCAGCCTGTGTAGCCTTGAGGGCCTGCATATTGCCGCTTATGATCTTTGTTTCTATCAGCATCCCTGCAATGCAAACTCCACTTGATAATTACCTCCTATCCTCACCAGGAGCTGCTATAATCAGGTTATGGTTTTCACCCAAAACATTCCTCAAGCTTTGAAATACCTAAAAAGCAAGTGTTGGTTTTCCCCGCTCTCACTTATTGACGTTCCTGTCCAGTGTGAAGAAAATACCTCCGTTTTTCTTTTGTTTTGGCAAATTTTGTGCAAAATCAAGTAGAATCAATAGATAAAAGATCAGTACATACAAACATGAGGTGAAAATACTTGGTAGCTGAACTGCTTTTTATCATCCATTCATTTTCCTTACCCATGGTTTTGTTCAGGATCGCAGGGAAGCTGGTGTTGAACTCCCTGGGCAGGTAGCAAGTCCTCTTGAAGTAGCTGATTAAGTTTATTTCTAAAAGGCAAAAAGATGGATATATTTTGTTTACATAAATTAGTTTTAACAAGATCTATCAAGATCTGTGTATTTTTTTTTTTGTTATTTACACCTGCTTCGAATTTTATCAGCCCATTAAATGGCCGTTATTAGTTGTTATCATCCCTATAGGTTTCCTTCAGACTGTTCCTCCTGAACCTCCTAGTGGGCTCAGTAGGTTGTTATCATATAATTCGAAAGTTAGGGTTAGGTCATATCTAGACCTCGATTTCTTTGATTTTGGGAAATCGGCGGTACTTGCACGAGAAACCGATTTTACCTAATTTTTTTTGGTTTTAATAACAATTGTCTAAACTTCATTTATATTTCAGTGCACCACATCATGGCCAGTTAAAACAAGTTTGTATTGTTTCTAGGATATTGTTCAAGAGTATGTTTTTCCACAAAATAATATTGAAAATTGAAGGTGCATTGTGACCTTATAATACCTGACAGTGTCGCTTAGAAAACAAAATCGGTATCGGCAGGTCAGACTCTTTAGAGATCGGTGATCAGCCAGAAAACTGCAATCGGTGCACCCCTAGTCATCTCCTCTCTTAAGTGAGTTATTTTTTAGATACTGAATTAAAGCCTTATGACTGTAAAATATGGAATTCATTTGAAGTAAATCCTTGATATCCAGCTTAAAAGTAGTAGGTAAATTGTAAATAAAAGTTTTAAATAAAGCTAACCAAAAAAAAAAGCTTCCGGTTTTAGACACAGACGAAGCTGCATATCATCAGCGATAACAACGCGCCTTTAAACCTACTAGGAGGTACGGGAGGGACAGTGAAAGCAACCTATAGGGATGATAACAACTAATAGCAGCCATTTAATGGGCTGATAACATTCGAAGCAGCTATTAGTTTTAGATTTATTTACTTTGTTTTCTGCATTTGAGTTTCCCCCAGTTTTCTTTTGTGTCCCCTCAGTTTCTGTTGCTTCAGCTCCTGCCCTGCCCACTCTTTTCTGTCCCCAATTGACATTATAGCAGGTTTGTCCCCTCTATTCATCAGCATCTGTCCATATATTTGCTCAGTTTTTATGTCTTCCATCAGTGTAGCATTGTGGGTGCTTCGTGCCTCTGTTCCCCTCTGTGTTTCATTAAGTTGTTGCAGCCACATCAGCATTTTTAAGTTTTCTACAAATTGTGACTAGATACTCCTTTTTGTCATTGCACTTGGGTCCCAAAAATAAAACCAAATTACAAAAGAAGAAGAAGAAAAAAAAGTCCAAAGCAAAACTTTAAACAGATTGCATAATCAATGCATAGCAACTTTTTTTTTTTGACACATTCACAGTTGGTGGCTGATTTTTGTTACAAGATAATTATTTCTCAGCTCCTCGTTGGAGAATTTTTGTTCATTCTTCTTGCAAAAAAAAACCCCTATCAAGTAAGCTTTGGGTTGTATTCAACACACTTGTTTTTTGAAGTTTGTCCACACGTTACAAGTTCTGGATCTGTTGACTTGTGGACAGCTTGCACCTCATGAGGTCTATTGTTTTAAATTTATTTATTTTTTAATTGTAGACAGCCGGTTCCTTGTTGAGGTTTTAATATTAAGCATGTTGCGTTTGCTTCTGATTTATTGATATCTGTGTCTACTGGTAGTTTTCTTGCTAGTGAAGTTTTCATGTGCTTTTGACTTCAACAATTAACCAAAATGTGATATCCGAGTACCGTAAATCTTGGGTTTTTTAAATGCACCCGTCTCTAAGATGCACTTATTAAATATAAGAAATCTTAATTTAGTACATAAATAAGGTGCTTGGAACATTAAGCTGTGGGCATCCACTGGTCAATGTCAGGATCTTTGCCCACAGCCTTCTCTAGCTGTGTGCAGCTTTCTTGTTGTAGTACAAGAACCAGCCAGCAGATGGTGTTTATCAGAATGTAACTTGCTTTCAACACGAGC